ATCAGGATAGTTAGCATATATATCACCCAAACATTTATCATTTCTTTGTGTTTATACCATTCAAGATCCTCTTTTGTGACTATTTTGAAATATACAATACAATATTATTAGCTATTGTCACCCCAGGGAACCAGAGCTTATTCTTCCTTCTAACTGTAACTTTGTAACTTTATACCGGTCTATCAACCTTTCCCTGCCTCACCCACTCCTTTTCTCTGAGTCTGGTAATTGCTATTCTATTTGTCTCTCTTTTTTCCCCTCTCTTTTAAATTTATCTTTCTCAATTGACACATGATAATTGTATATATTTATGGAGTACAAAATGATATTGCTTTTCTTTTTTTTTGTGGTAGTGATGGCTGACTGGTACGGAGATCTGAACCTGTAACCTTGGTGTTATAGGCTGTACTCTAACTTCTTGATAACCAGCTAGCCCCTGATATTGCATTGTTTATTTGGCAGGCCTTTTAAGATTTGTGTTAAAGTATATGTAACATGAAATTTACCATTTAAACTATGTTAAACTGTACATTTCAGTGCCATTAAGTAAATTCACAATGTTCACAATGTTATGCAACTATCACCAATATCTACTTCCAGAAAATTTTTATCATCTCAAATGGAAGCCTCATTTGGTAAGCTTTTTAATGCTGAAGATTTGTGTCTGTCTTCAGTTCTGAGAGATTTTCTTGCATTCTTTCTTTGAATATTTCCTTATGTCTACATTCTTGCTTAACACCTGATAGTTTTTTAAGATGAATATTAAAAGTCCTGGATCTGTCGTCTATTATTTTATTATTTCCTTTCCATTTTGATTCATCTTGGCTTGATCTTCCAGCTTGCTGATTGATTATTTAATATTTTATGATGTTCAGGCCAAGTATTGATTTTTTTTTTTTGCAATAATAAGCCTTTTTCATTGCCAAGTGTTTTCTCTCTTTATTGGTTTGCTTAGTTTCTTTTTTCTTTTTATGAACTTTTAAAAAATTAAAACATAATTATGAATGAAACATAATTTAATTAAAACATATCTGGGGTACAGTGTTGAATATCAGTACCTGTGTGCAATATATGATGCTCAAATCAGGATAATTAGTATATTCAACATTACACACTGTTTTCAGTGTTGGAGTTGCATGTGAGTGCCTCCAAGGCCTACACACTGGTGCACTTAGTGATTCCTTGCTGAGATTAGTGACACTATGTTGGTTCATTGAGGATGTGGGCAAGATCTCAAGTTCTTGGGAGAAGCACCTGGGTACTCTGTCACTCTTTGGCTGGGGCGGGTGACCCTGGGTTGGCTTTTTGGTATCCTGGCTAGTTTCCTGTCACCCTGATGGGTGCACTCGGGTATATTGGAGCTCCTCAGTTTGAGTGGGTGACCCTGGGTGGGGTTTCTCTTTCCTGTGTCCTACAGGCAGAAGATCCTTCTGGGTCCTTGCTTCCCACGGTTGGTGAATAGGTTGTTGGTGATTTGGAATTTTCTTTCTTACTCTATTTGGGTGTCCTGGTTTCTGCACTCTTGGGGAGTTCCATGTTGTCTCTCCCCAGATCAAGGCAGTCATGTGGTGCACGTACCTCCCACCTGAATGTGTGCAACAGCGTGTGGCAGTGTAATTCCCCCTGTGGGTTGGGCCACTGGGTCACAGGTCTACGTTTGCTCACCTCTTCCTCCAGGCTCTACTGGTGACTTTCCTTGTGTCAATGTAGTCAAGTGGTCTGTGGGCCGCCTGCACAGTGGTGGTGGCTACTGCTGTGGCAGCAGGCCAGCCTTGCAGTGGATATGGCTGTGGTGGTGTTCTGGTTGGTCTCCTGTGTGGCAGTGGTGTCCGCAGCAGTGGTGGGGGCTGACCATGGCTGCTGAGGTCCCTAGGTGCACCAGTTTCTTTTTTTTTAAACAAACTTTTAATTTTAGAATACTTTTAGATTTAAAAAAAAGTTGTGACGATAATACAGAGTTCTTGCTACCCCACAGCAAGTTTTACCTCCAATATCTTACATTATATGTCACATTTGTCACAATTAATGAGCCAATATTAATACGTTATTATTAATGAAAGTCCATACTTCATTCATATTTCCTTAGTTTCTACCTAAGGTCTTCTGACTGTTCCAGGATTCCATTTAGGTTAGCATATTATATTTATTTTTATTTTTATTTTTTTATTTTTTTTCCTTTTTGTCTTTTTTCATGTCCGGCAACGGACTGCAACCCTCAGTGTTGCGCCCGTACCGGACCGGGACCGGCAACAGGATTGCAACCCTCGGTGCTGCGCCCGCCCCTCGCTCAGCCAGTGAGCGGGAACTGGTCTGTATGTGGGATCCGAACCCTCGGCGGGAGCGCTGCCGCGCTCCCAAGCGGCGCACTGTAGCAGTGCGCCACCGGGCCGGCCCCAGCATATTATATTTAATTGTTATGTCTATTTAGACTTTTATTTGCTCTGATAGTTTCTCAGATTTCCTTGTTTTTGATGACCTTGATAGTGTTAAGGAGTATGCCAGGTATTTTTGTAGAATGTCCCTATGTTGGGATTTGTCTGATTTTTTTTATTGTGATTAGACTCGAGTTATAGTTTTTGGGGGATGAAGACTACAGAGATAAAGTGCCATTCTTGGGGCGGGCTGGTTTGCTCAGTTGGTTAGAGCACAATGTTGATAACATCAAGGTCCAGGGTTTGGATTCCCCTATCAGCCAGCCACCAAAAAAGCAGAACAAAACAAAACAAAACAAAAAATACCCGAAGTGCCATTCTTATCACAGCGTATCAAAGGTATATGCTATGAACATGACTTATAACTGTTGATGTTAGTATTAATCATCAGGCTGGTGTAGTATTTTTCATGTTTCTCCACTGTGACATTATTCTTTTCCTCCCATTTCCATACTGTAGTCTTTGGGAGGAAGTCACTTTGAGAAGCCCATACTTAAGGAGAAGGGAGTTATGCTCTACCTCCTTGAGGGCTGAGTATCTACATAAATTATTTGAAATGCTTCTGCATGGAGAATTGTCTTTTCTCCCCCACTTATTTATTTACTGTAGGGCTTTTTTGAGCACTTCTTTACTTTCTGGCACTACAAGATGCTCCAGGCTCATCTTTTATATTTCTTGTCCCAATCCTAGAATCTGCCATTTCTCCAAGGAGCCATGATTTTTTTTTTAATTGGAGAATGATATTAGAAACCAGTATCTGAGCATTACGTGTCCAAGTCCTCTTAATTGGTTTTCTTTCATAACATTCATAACATTCTTTTTATTCCTCTATTCTGAGGATATTAATTAAAATTCCTTTAGAGACTCTTTACATTTGTTCTAGTAATGGTTTTTCTTTGGGTGGTATTAATTATTGCATTTGTTGAATTTAGTCGTGGAGATGGTCTTCCTTAAATATTCTGTGAGTCTTATACATGTGAGCTTACATTTTTATTTGAGATTCCGTTTGTTTTTATGTGGAAAAAGTTTTCCATTTTCTGTAGTTTGCTGCCAGTGATTGTGGAGGAGGAGTAAGATGTGCAGACATTGAGCCTATTAAAAATTAATCTTCTGTGTGTATGGAAATCCTGCCTGTCTAGCCCAAACATCTAAACTCCTTATTCTGGGGCAGGAGCGAATGGCTCTTGTGCCTGATGATTAGCTCAAATGGAGATAAATATACATGTAAAAATCATTCTTGGTACCCATATGTAAATCCTCTAAACTTGGGGTACCTCAATACTGCTCCCAAATTTCACAGTAGTCTCCTCCTGTATCTTTTTGCTTGCAGCTATAGTTCCTTCGATTAATCGAATCCCACCTGCCTTACATTTTTCAGAGGTCCTCAGCATTCTTATGCATGTATTAAAAACTCTCACAGACACACACATACACATATAACCTTTCCTGTCATTTCTAGAGATTTAGGTAAGAAGGGAATGTAGATGCTTGTTCTCAGTCTACCATTTTGGTCTAATATTTCCATCAAGCATTTTCAAAACCAAAACATGAAAGAGGCAAGAAATATGAGTGGGAAGAAATATATTTAAATATACATGTATGGTAGACTCTCTTCAATGCCTATTCAGCACACATTTCCCCACTTTTTTGCCTGCCAACTGAACCTCAATTTTGTAGCTGATGGAAATCACTTGATATCAGAGAAACTTGGTCCAAATCCTGACATCAAGTAATGAATTGTGATTGGTCAAAACTATTCATGGTCTCACTTACCTTTACCAGCAATTGGTCTAGGGGTAGGTATGTATTCTTGTTAGGGCTAATGAATTGTAAATAGAAGTCTTGGTTGTAGGGCCGGCCCGGTGGCGCACTGCTACAGTGCGCCGCTTGGGAAGCGCGGTGGCGCTCCCGCCGAAGGTTTGGATCCCACATACAGACCGGCCGCTCACTGGCTGAGTGAGGTGCGGGAGCAACACCGAGGGTTGCGATCCCGTAGCCGGTCCCGGTCCGGTACGGGCGCGACACTGAGGGTTGCGATCCGTTGCTGGGCACGAAAAAAAGACAAAAAGGAAAAAAAAAAAAAAAAAAAAAAAAAAAAAAAAAAAAAAAAAAAAAAAAAAAAAAAAAAAAAAAGAAGTCTTGGTTGTAGGAGTATGGGAGATCTTCTCATCTCGCATAATGAAACATAGCCTCAAGAGGCGAAAGCCCCTTTGTCCTCAGTCCTTTTTTCCTGTGAAGAAGTGATATCTGGGGCTGTAATAGCTTTCATGTGATCAAGAGGTACAAGCACACACACACACACAAAATGACTGAAGAGCAACAGAAACAGGCTAGTTACTTAATGAAATCACTGAGCTGTTGAATGACTTCTGATTAAGTCAACAGTAAATGTCTTTATGGTTAAAGTCATTTGTGTCTGATTTTCTGTTACTTGCTTGCAGCTGACAGTGCTCCCAATACATCATGTAAATAGATGTAAAAAAATCTTTTCTCTGATAATATTCTAAAGTCACACAGATTAAAATCTATTTATAATATTTCTTACATTTTTCTTTTCTTCCCCCTCAGAATTAAACCTGGAGGGGCAACCAGAAATCTCAACTGGTTCAGTAAAGGACCCTAAAACTGAAGTCCTAAGGAATATTGTGGTTAGAAAACCTGCAAAAGTGATTTTTGGTATAGATAAAACTGAAATGAAATCAAAGCCAGAACAACCATGGAAGAAAAGTCTTTTTGAAAGACTGGAGGCAAGAGCCCAAGCAATGCAGCAGAAAATAATAGATAAGGATAATCTGAAGAAGGAACTAGAAAAAAAGACTGAAAAAAAACTCCCTAGAGATAATTTGGCCAAAGAGTGGTTTAATACTGAAAACATGACAGTGAATACTCGTGCATATTTGCTTGACAAACTTCTACCCACCATAGTTCCTGGAGTGGAGAAAATGTTAACACAGGTGGAAAATAAGAAGCTTTTGACACAAATTGATATTCCAACCAAGTTTGATCCAATTAATAATTTGGGGGAATATTTAATGAGAAACAATACTTATTATATCAAAGACTCAGGAATGTCTGGTTACCAGAGGGTGATGAGAGATGTCACAGAAGATCTGAAAATACATGTTCCCGACACTATCTGCAACAGGTAAAATTTGTCATTTTTCAACTGATGATCTGTCTCCTTACATTGAAAAGCTAGAACAATAATGTTATCACAGAAATAGTACTTAGAAGTGATTTTATAGTAATTTTTAAAGTGTTTATTGAACTACTACTACGTGCCTCACTTTTTCAAGGCACTGTGCAGACTAATTAAGTATATTAAGTAAATTCCTTCTATTCATGGATTTAATTATCTCACTAAGACTCCAAGGGTATATTTATTTGTCTCCCTGCACTGGAAAGTAAGCTAAATGACAGTTGAGACTTTTTAAATATTTGCCTTTCCAGATTGGCAATATATTCACCTGGTTTAAAAGCCAAAATGTATAAAAAGTTATACACTGAAAAGTTTGCCTCCCATTCATATCCTCCATCTACCCGTTATTTCACTTCTGCCATAGATAAGCACTGTTTTTAGTTTTCTATGGATCCTCACAGTTTCTTTATGCATACATAAGCAAATGCAAATATGGATTTTTAATTTTCTTTCTCATACACAAAAGCATGTGATAAAAATTACAAATATTTCCCCCTATTTTTCACCTGTCATTTATCTTTTGTCATGCAGAAGATTTTTATTTCTATGTAGTTGAATTTAACTTTTATTTTATGATGTCTGGATTTTGAGTCACTGTTACAATTCAAAATATTGAAAGAATTCTCCCATGTTTTCTTCTGGAATTATTATTATTTTAATTTTAAATACTGATTCACTTGGAATTTATCCTAGTGAAATATGTGAGATATGTATTCAACTTTATCCTTTTTCAAATGGCTATTTAGTTGTTCCAATAAGAATTGTTGAATAGTCTGTCTATCTTTATGCAACTGATTTGAGATGATCCTTTATTACTCAATTCCTGTATATTTCGGAGTACATTTCTGGATTTTTCTATCCTGTTCCATTGGTCTACTTTCATGCACTAATACTGCTTTAATTATCGAGACTTTTATTTTAACAAATCTGACAGTGCTGGTTCCCCCTACTTGCTCTTCTTTTTTCTGATGTCTCCTGGCTATTATTGTGTGTTTACTTTTTTATATGAACTTCAGCATTTTTTTTTTTTTTTTTTTTGGTAGCTGGCCGAAATGGAGATCCTAACCTTTGAGCCTGGTGTTATCAGCACCATGCTTTACCAAGTGTGCTAACTGGTCAGTCCTGCTTCATTCAGCACCTTTGATTTTAGTGTCTGCAGATGGTTTTTTTTTTTTTTTTTTTTTGGCAGCTGGCCATTGTGGGGATCTGAACCCTTGACCTTGGTGTTATAACACTGTGCTCTAACCAGCTAAGCTTACTGGCCAGCCCCTTTAACTTTAGTATTAACTTGTCTACTTGAAAAAAAAAAAAGTGGGGAGAAAAACCAAAACCAACCTTAAAGAAATCTTTATTGAAATTTGATTACATTCATTAATTAACTTAGAAAACTAGCATCTTTAATAATGTTGATTATTTCTGTGTGAGAGTATGTGACTTTCCATTTGCTCATCTTCTTTTGTATCTATCAGTGTTGTCTTAAAGTTTCTTACATAGGTTTTATATCTCTCCTGTTAGGTTTATTACTAGTTATTTTATTATTTTTTGTTGGTATCGTAAGTGGGACTTTCTTTGATTACATTTTCTATCTTAATGTAGCCTGTACACATGAAAGCTATTAATTTCTATATATTTTTGTGCCCTACTACCTTACTGAGTTCTCTTACAGGAAAATTTTAGTTGATTTCTTGGGTTTTCTACAGAGGCAACCATATTGTCTGCAAATAATACTAGTTTCCTTCTTTATTTTCAATTTTTATACTTCTAGCAGCTTTCTCCTGCCTAATTACATTGGCTATTACCTCTGATACAGTGTTAAATAATAGTGGTGATATAGGCATCCTTGTCTTGCATACTTTAGTAGAAATGTTTCTTGTGTCACTGCTTCACCATGTGTAGTTTTTAAAATGTATTAATTCTACTCCATTTGGATCTGAAAAACATATTTTATCACAGCAGGGAAAATGTACCTAAATTTCTATCTTATAGAGTGATTTTTAAAAATCAAGACTGATGGTTGATTTTGTTAAATGCTTTTTCAGTACCTACGGAGATGATCATTTCATTTTCACCCAAATTAATGATGAATTTTTTGTCCTCGAGGCAATGGTGCTCTGTGGCGTTAGAATCCTCTGGCTTGTTGGTCTGTGTGAGTGTGTGCAGACATGGCCTCAAATGATTATTCCCAACAAGCAATCAAAAGGTACGGGGCCTACTCCACACAGCGTGCGCAAGGCTACTGCCAGCAGAGCAATCAGCTCTACAGACAGCAGAGTTAGTGGTTACAGCCAGTCAGCAGACACTTCAGGCTATGGACAGAGAACTTATGATTCTTCTTATGGACAGACCCAGAACAGGCTATGGCACTCACTCAGCTCCCAGGGAAATGGCTCAACTGATGATGGCTATGGTAGTAGCCAGAGTTCCCAATCCTCTTATGGGCAACAGTACTCCTACCCTGGCTATGGTTAACAGCCAGCTCCCAGCAGTACCTTGGGAAGTTATGGTAGCAGTTCTCAGAGAAGCAGCTGTGGGAAGCCCCCAAGGTGGGGGCTATGGCCAACAGTCTGGCTATGGTGGATAGCAACAGAGTTCCTATAATCCCCCTTAGGGCTATAGACAGCAGAACTAGTATAACAGTAATAGCAGCAGTAGCAGAGTGGGGGGTGGAGGTAACTATGGCCAAGATCAGCCCTCCACGAGTGGTGGCAGTGGTGGTTATGGCAATCAGGACCAGAGTGGTCGTGGTGGCAGCAGTGGCAGCGGGGAGGCCAGCAGGACCATGGGGGCTGCGGCAGGGGCAGTGGCAGTGGCTACAACTGCAGCAGTGGTGGCTGTGAACCCATACGTCATGGAGGTGGCCATAGAGGCAGAGGCAGCGTGGATGGAAGTTACCATAGTGGCTTCAATAAATTTGGTGGCCCCCAGGATCACGTTATGACTCTGAACAGGATAATTCAGACAATACCCTCTTTGTGCAAGTCCTGGGTGAGAATGTTACAATTGCATCTGTGGCTGATTACTTCAAGCATATTAGTATTATTAAGACAGACAAGAAAATGGGACAGCCCATGATTAATTTGTACACAGACAGAGAAACTGGTAAGCTGAAGGGAGAGGCAACGGTCTCATTTCATGACCTACCTTCTGCTAAAGCAGCTATTGACTAGTTTGATGGTAAAAAATTCTCCAGGAATCCTATCAAAGTCTCATTTGCTACTCGCTGAGCAGACCAATTATGATGGTGGCGCTGGTCGTGGAGGCCGAGGGTGAGGAGGACCTGTGGGCCGTGGAGGCTATGGAGGTGGTGACAAGTGGTGCTGGTGGCTGGGGAGGATTCCCCAGTGGAGGTGGTAGAGGTGGAAGACAGCAACAAGCTGGGGACTGGAAGTGTCCTAATCCTACATGTGAGAACATGAACTTCTCTTGGAGGAATGAATGCAACCAATGTAAGGTCCCTAAACCAGATGGCCAAGGAAGGGGGCCAGGAGGCTGTCATATGGGGAGTAACTATGGAGATGATCATCACGGTGACAGAGGAAGTTATGATCGGGTGTCTACCAAGGCCGTGACAGGGACCGTGGGGGCTTCTGAAGGGGCTGGGGTGGTGGGGACAGAGGTAGCTTGGCCATAGAAACCAAGGGTTAAATTCTTTTATATCAGAGAAAATCCTTTATAACTATGATACAAGATCATGAAAATATTGATAAATTTGATTACATAAAAATTAAAAGCTTTTTGCCTGGCAAATTGAATCACAGCTGCTCAATTCTGCTGTTATAGTGCAAAAACAGCCTTAGGCAATATGTAAATGAATGAGCACAGCTGTATTCCAATGAAACTTTACTTCTGGATAATGAAATTTGAATTTCATATAATCTTCACATGCCACAAAATACTATTCTTTTTATTTTAAAAATGTGTTTAAAAATGTAACAACCACTCTTAGCTTTCAAGCTATACAAAACCAGACTGTGGGCCAGATTTGGCCCCTATGCTGTAATTTGCTGACTCCAGTCTAAGTTATATCTATCAGGTCTCTTCCTGATCTAAAAAACGAAGAATATCCTTTGAATCTCTGAACCTATTCCTGAATCTCTATGTTTTCCTTTGAATATCTTCTGGTGTAGAAACCAATAGTAAAATTTATAAAGGAACCCAAAATTCTTTGTGACTTGTTTCAGTGTCCTTCCTATAGGGTAAACAACTAATTAGAAGCTTTAGTATAATACTCATTTTAAAATTAGGCACATAAGTCCCTCTGGAATAAAGTAAGAGATGTGTGCAGAACTCTTATTTTGTTTTATATTATGTGTGGACATGGAATTTTCACTTTCAGTTGAAACTGTAGAAGAGTGTGATTGCCTACCATTGACATCAGAATCACCTAGGGTGCGTGGTTAAAAGTGCAGATTCCTAGATTCTTCCTCAGATCTTCTGAAAGAGAACCTCTAGGAATACATTTAAAACAAGTTCCACATGAGGTTATTATGCACACAATCGTTTCAAGACCAAATTAAAGAGAAGCCATGGCTATTAAGGGAGTATTAGTACTAATGAAAAGTTCTAGCAGCGTGCAGGAAGCAGTGTCATTAAATTTAATAAATAGCTTAAGGAACATTTCTCCTCACTATCTGTTCTTGCGGAGCAATAAATTAGATTGAAGTAGATTTATTTCCATAAGAAATATTTACAATTTGGGAACTGGTGTTAAGGCTATAAACTGATATGTTGGCAAACCCTTCCCCCTGTTAGAGATGTAAAAATCTCAATCAGTACATAAACCTCCTGGCATTAGGCTGTCTCACTGATGTTTCTTGAAATTGAAGTTTAAATACTTAGAGTCATTTGAGGCTTGATGAGAGCATTAAGTTTCTATTGGAGCGACACTGTTGTAGGAATTTCATGAAAGAGTTAAAGTAATTAAAGATGTTTTCTTGCCTGGTTTG